GCTGACGTAGTTGCCTTAATCAAATCCATGACAACACAAATTTGCACCTTTTGTCAGGGGGGGGGGGGGGGGGGGGCAGGGTTTCCCAAAACACAGACTAAATTTCAAAATAATAATCTTTCAAATAGGTTATTTAGGTCTGGATTGAAAAAAAAATCAACTTTTTTTTCTCTTAGTATTACTGAAAAAAAAAAACCTGTTGATGACAAATGGTGTTTTTTTTTGCCCTGGTAAATGTTTTAAGGCTATTCTAGGTCATTCCTGGGGCTATTGTTCTTAGTCCTGTTGTGTTTTTTTTTTTGCTTGGTTTTTAGTAACATTTTTTTCAGCTTTTGTCCAATATTTAGTCACCCGCTGTTTTGAGCTAACTTAACTGGTTCGCAGTTGCTGTGCCTTCTTTGGCAGTATTTTATTTTATTTTGTTTTGTTTCTTTGGCTTCTTACTGTTAAGCATTTTATATAACAATAACAACATAACCCTTTATGGAAAAAAAAAGTCTTTATATACTTACAGATTCACGACTGAATAGTTTTCACTCAGGTTTCGAAAGAGTTAACTCAACATTTCACCAGGGCATAAAAAAAATCCACAGGCTGATTTAAGGTGGACTTTAAGGTGGACTGGCGTGGTTTTGGGAAACCTGCTTCTGATATAAACTCTTTCTCTGCCCACTATGCCACAGTATTTTGTCTTTGTTCTGTTTTGGCTGCTGCTGCTGCTATTATCGCCGCTGGTGTGTTGATGTAGAGAAGAGCAAAGTTCCACTGTGTCTGAGGCAGAGGGCGACAGAGGCCTGCTTTATTTTTTTTATTATTCAAACTGCTCGACTACACACAACGCATTCTCGCCGTTCTTCTTCTTTGGTTCAGACATGGAGCACTGTGTTGCTGCCTCTTGTGACCTCTTTGAGTAAGATTTGAAAAAAAAATCTCTCTCTCGCACACACACACACACACACAAACATGTACACACATGACAGAACTTTCAGTTTCTTTACTCTTATGAAGTGCCAGACCCTCCTTGAAGTCAGTGTTGGCACTGAGTCGCAGGCTGCGAATGAAGCGACAAACTGAGCATGGAGGTTAAAACTGTGGTGCTAATCTGTCAGTGGCTGGGTGCTAACATGGCTGTGTTAAAAAAAACAAAAACAAACAAAAAAAAAGCTGTATTAGCCATATTGTTGTGATTCTGATTATTAACCCTAATCCTGTTGATGACTCTGGTCAGTCTGGTGTTTTTCTGACTGCTGCACTGCTGTACGCTGACACAGCGAGGCGTCTCTGCTGCTGCTGCTTTGCTGATTAATGTTAGACTAGTTTTCTTGTCGTCAGGATCCAGAAAAGACCATGAATGTTGTGTCTTCACGCGGGCGCTGTCCGGCTTTATGGTTAATATGTTATTTTTCTTTAGTTTTGATATTTATGCTTTGAGTCTGTCAACTGTTGCACGTCGATACAGTTTGATGTTTGATTGCCTTTCCCCCCTGCGCCCTAATCAAGATGCCACTTTTTTAAAGAGTTGTTGGTTTTTGTCCTTTAAATTAAGACGTAAGGAGTCACTTTGGTCGATTCTGAATTTGAAGCTTTCCTAGAAGAAAACCTGGGATTAAGGATTTGTCATGAGATTTACAGACACAACTCAGAGTCACTTTTTTTTTCTTTTACTTTTTGTTCATAGTTTTAAATTTAAAGTCATTTTCAAGTGTGTAGAAAAAAATAAGAATAATTTTAAAAATGTCATGTTTTATTTGAAACCAATTGTAATGTTTTAATTTATCCAGTTTATATTTTATTACTTAAACCATTTTTATTGTTTTACGATTTCCACTTTGTCGTCAATAGACAGCACGTCACAGGAACGCTTGCTAATTAGTATACAACATTAGTTGCTTTTTTCTTATAAGATTAGCACAAAACGAAAAGCTTTATTGTTTTACTTATTTACCGTATGGTTTACCGTATTAAATGTTTGTTCACCGCTAATATTATTA